GACAAAGCGCTTTGGGAACCCCCGGGTGCTGTGATCTCGGTTCTTGAATCAACAAATAAACCCCTGAAATAAAACCCTTTCCTAAAAAAAAAGTTTAACCACCGGGGATTCAAAAATTTCCCCCCCGTTTTTAAAACAATTACCCCAGCTCCTTCCCTTTTTTTTAAAAACCTCTGGGGCAAAAACAATCATTACGATCTGAGGGGAAATTTGTCCCGTGAGGAACTGACCAGGGGATCTGGCTGTTTTCCATCCACTCAAGGAACTTTCTAAAAAAATATTCCCAATCGCCCGTTACTGGAAACCTTTAGGATTTTAAAACTGTGCTTGCTGCTTAAAAATAAAAACGGACCCTTTTTAGGGACAGGCCGGGTGCTGTGATGTTGATTCTGTTTCCAACTACCTAGCTGACTCACCTGCAAGAGAACGGTTTGTTGGTGACATCAAACTCAATCAACAGACAGGTCTCTTGTAAAACCTGCACATGGACAAGGCTTGCTGGTAGAGGCGGCCGTTGTTCAAGGAGCCAATCAGATCGCTGACACTCTTACGTTCCACACAAATGTCAGGTGTCAAAATGTAGTCTCCAACCTAGGAGAGCAACAAATATAAAATGTTACTTAGTATCTGCAAGTTTAAAATGTGTTATTATATTCACAGATTAAAAAAAAACCAAACACTGCATTCAAGGGAGCCTCCGTGGTCTAGCGGCTAGACGCTCGGCTGTGGACTAGAAGGTCGTGGGTTCGGTTCCTGATGAAGGCCAGATTAAAATACAAAATTTACCTTGGCTCCCAGGTTGACCCAGCCTTGAGTAGCAGGTACAGTCCTGGGAAGTAAAGGTGGCTGGCATGATGCTAACCACATCACCCACCAAGTGCTGTATGGTCTACAAAGTATAGGTCTAGCCCTATATACCCAATATGCCTGAAAGGCGTGGAAAAAAGTCTTCTTTTTTTAAAACTGCATTCAGGACATAATCATACCTGCTCTGTCTCTCTCAGCAGATTTTGAACTGCAGGGATACTTAAAAATTTCTGTATATCACTGACCTTAAATGCAGAAACCCACCCTCCCCTGCCCCAAAAAAACTGGAAGAAATACAGGGTGTAGCACTAAACAACTGTAATACATGGAAAAGAGATAGTGTCTAATTAGCCAACACAGAAATGAAATTGCCAGTCAGCCTATTTGGCAAACATGCTGAGTAAAAAAAAAAAATAACTGCACATATGGACTTGCTCTTAGCAATTCACCGGCTGTAAACTCCGCAGGAAGTCCTGGTTGTTCATCCAGTTCTTCTTCTTAGCACTCACTAGCTGTAAACTCCATCAGAATGTCTTACTTTACTTACTTAGTCGCTCCTCTTCTACCTTTGGGTGCAGAGGTTTGCCAGAGAGATCGCCAAATGTCTCTTTCTGTTTTCTTTCTGGCTTTGTTCCATTTCAGTCCTGTGCTAGTCAGGGACTGCCGAATGTTGTCTTCCCAACGGACCCTGCGTCGCCCAGGAGGTCTGGTTCTCAGCTTCCCATGGGGGTCGATTTTATATCATTCAACATACATGTTCAAACCATCGTAACTGTGACTGATCCAATCGAGTTTGCAAGGCCTGGGTTTCAAGATCTTGACCTATTGTTCCTTGTCACTTGGACCACCTTTGTCAGATATCTTATTTCTGAGGCCTGAAGCTGGCTTCTGTGAGCTGTTGTCCTTGCCCATGCCTCACACCTTTAGGTAAGGTCACCAGAATGTTCTAGAACATAAGTTTTGCGTGCACATTTAATTTTACAGATCTGGTCTATTTGTATGCAGACTGTTGGTTCCTCGCCTTTCAGGCAGGTGCACTTCGACTTCAAATAAAGCAAAAATTTATAAACCAATAACTAAACCAACTGACCATCTAAGTAACTAGCTAACTTGCTAAGAGAGAAAATATGATGTTCCTTGCATATCTGAAAAATCCCACAATCACTGATATAATATACAGTAAGTTGACAATGGCAACAGTCCTGACGAAAATCAGATTAGCAAACTACCCAAAGAGGATGTTTCATGTTTAAGTGATGTGGGAACAGGTCTTTCTAAAAATACATTTAGTGGGTCAGATGTAGCGGCTATCATCATCATTAACTTTATGCTGACCGGTATGGACGATCACGACTCTCCACAACCTGGGATCTTTAACAGCAAGTATCAGTTCGTATTCAGGTTAAAAAAACCCACTACTCTTCTGGCTGCCCAAGCAATTCTACGGTTTCTTCCGTAAAACCATATATCCGAGGTCTCCAATGATTTTAGTGGTGGCCATAAAGCACAATTATCGCACTTTAGCTGCAGACATATTGCTCCCAACATTATTCTTAGGACAAATTAGGAAGAGGAAGAAATGGTGTTACTCGGAATGTTTAAAAATCTGGCAAACCTCTATCGTGACAGGCTCAATCTCGATACCGCGACGGTGAATCAGGGAAGGTAACTCACTTCTAAACTCTCTCATGTCCACAATCACCTGTCAAAAAAAAAGACATAAATGAAAAATAAATATAGGTAGACAAAGACAACATATAAGTAGAATAAATATAAGTGTCAACTGGGAAATAAATATTCCCCACATGGGTTCTGGGGTGCCAGTTTTGGGACAGTTAGAACATATATTGCCACCAACTAGTACAGTCACTGCCCAGAATGAAAGCAATGGCAAACTACCTTCTGCAAAACTTGTCATGAAACCATAACAGCCATGAAAGACAACATAATAAGAAAGAGATCTGGTGGCAAGACCTCCAGGCCAGGCAGATCAAAACTGGGGAAGAGTGTGATACAGGGACCATAACTAGTAATCATGATGACAGAATAAACAGTAACTGTGTTACCAAGGAAATGGGTGCAGGATGTGGCGGATGATCTCCAGATGGGTGTATCGGGTGCGGGACATCTTGCTTGTGATCGAGAATTTTTCTGGAGTGTTGTTATGAGAGCAAGGTTTTGCAAAGGACATGCTACTGACTGACAGACTGAGAGCAAATATAATCTAACAAAGAAAACATTTAAATAGAATGAATGGAAGTGCACAGTTACAACAAACATAATCTAACAGCATTCAGTCTCTGGTGTCAACGGATCCACAACAATTAAACTAACCCGTTGTTGAACTGTCTCAGTTCCTCCATGTCTGGAACTTGACCCCACACTGGGAACTTGACCCCGAGCCAAACTGGGATCATCATCAGTCTTGCCATCTTGTTCTTCTGACACGACCATCGTCTGAGGGTGAAGTAATCATACAATGAGTCCAATCATGACAGGTTAAGCATACTCTCACACAGCTGCACAAGTAGAATGACACATTTTATGAATTAGTTATCTAGAACACAAAACTAACAATGTCAGAGACAAAACAGACACAGCTGCAGGACATTCGGAACCTCTCTTGGCAGTGGTGAAATGCTGCAAGCTACCTTGGTTCGAACACGTGGTAAGACATTATTCGATTGCAAAGACTGTACTTCAAGAAACATTGGGGAGGGCAAAGAAGAAACTGGAATGACAGGATTGCTGTGGGCTGATCTGTGTAAGGTTAGGTCAGACAATGAATAGACAACAGTTGTGGTCTGATCTGTGTAAGGTTAGGTCAGACAATGAATAGACAACTGTTGTGGACTGATTTGTGAAAGGTTATCAAACACTCGTGAGGCAGATATATTCCTACTTACCGCTTTTTCTCTAATGAGGTATTCAAAAGCTTCTTTCTCTTTACGAAGAGTGGTGAGGTATCGTTGCTCTTCCACTGATCCTTTGTACATCAGGAAGTAAACGCGGAGAGGTCGGCCTGGTCTACTGGCTTTATACACCTGCAGAGATCAAACACAGTGGTTCAGTTATCTCTGTCACTGAACAGGATTAGTGATTTAAGAATCAACATTATAGCTCTCCAGACATACATACAAATGTTCTATCTCTCCCAGCAAACATCTCCTATGGTGAAGTTAAAGACTATTTCAGTAGCATTCTATTGTAGGGAGGCTGTATTGCAGCTAGATTCTTACCTGCTGGCTTAAGGAATTTAGGTTGAAATCTGCAGCAAGGACATATTTTTTTCAAAACTGACCTTGGCTCCCAGGTCGACCCAGCCTAAAATGGGTACCAGGTATTGACCTTGGACGTAAATAGGGCCAGTTTGATGCTGACCAAATCACCCACTGATTGCCGACTGGTCCGTAAAGATATTTCAGTCTCATATTCCAGATGCGCCACTGGTTTAAAAAGGGTGCTTTACTCTATACTGACAGCACGCACATCGCACTCTTTTTCTCATGTCCGTTCTTGCCACATCAAAACATCATTCCAAATTCATGCTTGGTCAGCAATCTCTGGTCACGCGCTCAATTCACAGTAGGCCATAAACTGGGATATCATTTCAATGTTCCCAAGCTTAGTTGCCAGGTCTACTGGGTGTGGCTACATGTTGATCCGTAGCTCCTCCATGAAAAGACAGTCTCGCAAGACATGTTCTGGAGTCTGTTCAGCATGGAGACACTATCACAGCACTGTATGGCTCATTCCTAATTTATATGAATGTTTGTTAAAACTGCAGTGTCCAGTGCATAAGCAAAAAATTGTGACTTTGTCTGTTCAGTGCAGATGACTGAGGAAATATTTTTCAGTTATAACCTGTGTTTGTATTCTCACCTGTTTCTGATTTTCCAAATTCATGCAATTTTCCATGTTTCATTCAACAATGAAATTTTTATCAGCATTTTTACATATCTGTGAAAAGTCATGTTTTGGTTCTATCCAAATGTCTTTTCCCCCAAACAAACAAATATTTTAGGGGGTGGTAGATAGGGTGCATGCAGTCGTGGGACCTAGGCTGCATGCAGTCGAGGGACCTAGGCTGCACTGTCTTGCTGGACATAGGTAGGTTGGGGTTAGGCCCAGTTCTAGATGTGTTGGGTTAGTTAAAAGCATCAGAAAGCCAGGAAACCAGCTCTTACCACCCTAAAAAATATTGGACTATCCTGTGACATCATCCTGGGGAGGGGGGGGGGAGGAGAGATATTGGGAAAGCACCCGTGTTTTTTTCTCACAAACTGATGTTCTGCTGGTCCTTGTACTGTTCAACAAGTTAGGCTTGTGTTTAGTAGAACCCATCACCATCATCATGTAGCAGGTCCTTTGCAGAACGTCGCTCTCATCACAGTCTGCCTAAAAGAAACTCGGTCTCTCGCCAGTTCTCCCGCCTCAGGTACTTTTCATACTCAAGGAGTCACTTATATCCTGTGCCCATTTTCGTGTTGGTCCGCCTCTGCCCCTCCTTCCTGGTACCATGCATTCTTTTTTGATTTTTTCAAATCCGTGGTTTATATGGTGCTTGATATGACCAAAATATTTCAGCTCCCGAGACAGGATGCTGTTTATTAGCCAATCCTCCTTGATGTTCAGATCTTTCAAGATGTCAGTATTTTAGTGGAACCCACTGGAAGATAAAATCCAACTAAATTGTGGCGAACAGGATTACTTAAAAGCACATAACACTATGAGTAACAACTGACCTCCAACTGTCTGACCAGACTTATATCAGCATCGTACAGGACAACATATTTGGGCTGTATCTCCTCAATGGTGCGAGAAAGGCCATGTGGGTCTGAGCAGCCGTGTAGAGGGTGTATGATAGTCATGGGAGAGCTGACCACGCTGTAGTAGGCATCCTTGGATGAGGTAGCTAGGTCATTTGTAGCCTACAATTTACAGAAACAAATTTCAGTGACAAAATGAGACCAGAGACTACCAACAGTCATACTTACAGCACCATTTTCTTTCTACATTGATTCAAATATTCTCTATCTTCTTCTTGAAACACACAATCATTTGCTTGATATATTCTTAACCTTGTCGCCATGAGAAGTCACAACACCGTCACTTCAGCGGTGTCCATTTCCCCCAGAGTCACTTTTCCGACTCAGCTTTAGTGGCCTGTTCATGAGATGACAGCTAATAGCATTGCTATTGCTTGTGCCTGCACCCATGATTTAGAAGGGGTAGGAATGACATTTACTAAAAACAGCATTTAGAGGGGTTCTCCTGTAAACAAATGCTTCAGTAAAAGAAATTATGATGTAATTTACCTACTGGCCCCAGTGATAACCTGCGAATAAGTCACGAGGTACAAAAAAATGAGTCACCATAAACATTTAGACTCATAGAAATGTGACCCATTTTATTCTCCGCTGCATTCAAGTTTATTGATAACTCCCCATTTTCTGTATGGAATATAATATTGTTTTGGTTGAAAAATGGATCAATACTTGGAGGGAGGGGGAGGGGGGTGGGGGAGGGGGTTGACCTGTGTAAAATGGTTGTATTTTTACAGATTTGTATCAGGAATTACCCAATTACAGGTGATTTGAATTTTTTTCTAGGTCACCAGGGTAGTAGGGTTAATATTGGTGTCAGTGGGTTTTTGTGGCCAGATTTTATGGAAAGAGGTAAAAGTAATGTAAAGAAAACTTTTCCACGCCTTTAGGCATATAGGGCATATAGGGCTAGACCTATATTTTTATAGACCATTAGGCACAAGATGGGTGATGTGGTCAGCATCATGCCGGCCGCCTTTACTTCCTGGGACTGCACCCGGTACCCACTCAATGCTGGGTCAACCTGGGAGCCCAAGATCTTTTTAATTAAAGTCCGGCTCTGCCAGATGGGAAGAGATAGCTAGCCCTAAATCCAACCCTACCCTTAGTCACCTTTAACAACATAAGTTTGGTAAGGTGCAATGGTACTGTTCTTCACTGTCCTTTAGAGTCTCAGAAATATAAGCTCCAGTGGGGGGTTAAAGGGCAGTAGAAGAGAATTACTGAACTTAATATCACCTCTTGAGAAAAGAAAAAAAACAGATATCACACATGTGAGACTTTCTGTGTCACTATAAATTGCACGAACCTTCTCATTTCCATCAGAGTCATCTCCCTTAGAAGCTCCCATCATCTGGGTCAATGTCAATGTAGAAGAAACGGACTTGCCAGCTTGAGTTGGGTCCTTGCTGGTACTGTTCTTGTGCCTGACATCTTCTGTCTGCTGTTGACAGAGTCAAACAACAATTTCTGTCAAACATGCCAGTGTCCTATCAGTGTCAAATATTTTAGTGTCCTGACAGACAGTGTCAAATATTTTAGTGTCCTGACAGACAGTGTCAAATATACAAGTTTCCTGGCAGACAGTGTGAATTAATTCAATCTCCTAACAGAGTCAAACACATGTAATCAATCTGTTTTCAAAAATCAAATATACAAAGTTTCCTGTGTGGGTTCCAGGGCCCCAGTGTAGAGAAAACTAGAATAGACCCACTGCCTACCCAAAGGGCTGTCAAAAGAGTCAACTAACCGGGAGCATCCTTTGAAGTCCAACTGCCTGGGAGGCAAGGAACCAACAGTCAGCATAAAAGTGAATCAGACCTGTGAAATGGATGTGCACACAATACTTAGGTTCTGGAATAGGACTAACTAGAGTTCAGAAGTGGACAAACAGCCAGAAGCTTTTAACCAGAATTTATAGCTGGTAATCGCGAAGAAAAAAAAAAAGGGTCAACTACTGACTGTCAGTGGGCATTATGAGTTAATAAAAGGGATGCCAAAGAAATGCCCACTGAAAAGGAGCAGTCACATAAACTAACAGCCTGTATCACCTGGTCCCATGCTGAAACTAAACATGGTTTATGTTTTACAAAGGTTGCCCGGCCGAAACCTTACGTTATTTGTGTTGTTTTGTGCATGTTTTTCTGCTTCCCCATTTTGGTTAAGCTTTTTACTCAAATTTCACTGGAATTCCTGCTGAAACTAAGGCTTATTAAATCAAACAGACACACCTGAAGACATGTCAGCAATGTCAACCAAACCAATCAGATGCGGTCTCACCTGAGCCTGGCCTGGTTTTCCTTTCAGCAACAAGTACTTCTGGAACAATCGATTCATCAGCACGTCCCCTGTCTCACACAAGTACTGAAATACAGAAGGAATGTCAATTTAAACACACAGAAATAATGGGATTTTTTTTTAAATCTCTCCCACACTGTCTGCCCAATTTTCCCCTCCAGTCTGCTTTCTCAATGTTTAACAACTCTTGTGTGACTCAAAGAGTCACATTCTAGATGGTAATACAACAGGGCAAATTCTAGATACCCCACTCAATCTCCCAAGAAATCATTTTAGGGCTATTTTAGGGATTACACTATTACCTTAATGTACCCTACCTTAGAGAAAGTTCTGGTATGAAACAGCCTGACTCAAACACACTCAAGATATCAAACAGCCTGACTCACACTCCAGATATCAAACAGACTGACTCACACTCCTGATATCAAACAGACTGACTCTCACTCCTGATATCAAACAGACTGACATACTCCTGATACCAAACAGCCTTACTCACACTCAAGATATCAAACAGACTGACTCATACTCCTGATATCAAACAGACTGACTCGCACTCCTGATATCAAACAGACTGACTCACACTCCTGATATTAAACAGACTGACTCACACTCCTGATATTAAACAGACTTACTCACACTCCTGATTAAAAACAGACTGACTCACACTCCTGACACCAAACAGACTGACTCACACTCCTGATATTAAACAGACTGACTCACACTCCTGATATTAAACAGACTGACTCACACTCCTGATATTAAACAGTGACTCACACTCCTGATATCAAACAGACTGACTCACACTCCTGTTATAAAAACACTGACTCACACTCCTGATATTAAACAGACTGACTCCCACTCCTGACATCAAACAGACTGACTCACACTCCTGATATTAAACAGACTGACTCACACTCCTGATATTAAACAGTCTGACTCACACTCCTGATATTAAACAGACTGACTCATACTCCTGATATCAAACAGACTGACTCACACTACTGATATGAAACAGACTGACTCACACTCCTGATATGAAACAGACTGACTCACACTCCTGATATTAAACAGACTGACTCACACTCCTAATATGAAACAGACTGACTCACACTCTTGATTTTAAACAGACTGACTCACACTCCTGATATGAAACAGACTGACTCACACTCCTGATATTAAACAGACTGACTCCCACTCCTGACATCAAACAGACTGACTCACACTCCTGATATTAAACAGACTGACTCACACTCCTGATATTAAACAGACTGACTAACACTCCTGATATTAAACAGTGACTCATACTCCTGATATCAAACAGACTGACTCACACTCCTGTTATTAAACACTGACTCACACTCCTGATATTAAACAGACTGACTCACACTCCTGATATTAAACAGACTGACTCACACTCCTGATATGAAACAGACTGACTCACACTCCTGATATTAAACAGACTGACTCACACTCCTAATATGAAACAGACTGACTCACACTCTTGATTTTAAACAGACTGACTCACACTCCTGATATGAAACAGACTGACTCACACTCCTGATATTAAACAGACTGACTCCCACTCCTGACATCAAACAGACTGACTCACACTCCTGATATTAAACAGACTGACTCACACTCCTGATATTAAACAGACTGACTAACACTCCTGATATTAAACAGTGACTCATACTCCTGATATCAAACAGACTGACTCACACTCCTGTTATTAAACACTGACTCACACTCCTGATATTAAACAGACTGACTCACACTCCTGATATTAAACAGACTGACTCACACTCCTGATATTAAACAGTCTGACCCACACTCCTGATATTAAACAGACTGACTCATACTCCTGATATCAAACAGACTGACTCACACTCCTGATATGAAACAGACTGACTCACACTCCTGATATTAAACAGACTGACTCACACTCCTGATATTAAACAGACTGACTCACACTCCTGATATGAAACAGACTGACTCACACTCCTGATATGAAACAGACTGACTCACACTCCTGATATGAAACAGACTGACTCACACTCCTGATATCAAACAGACTGACTCACACTCCTGATATCAAACAGACTGACTCACACTCTTGATTTTAAACAGACTGACTCACACTCCTGATATGAAACAGACTGACTCACACTCCTGATATGAAACAGACTGACTCCCACTCCTGACATCAAACAGACTGACTCACACTCCTGATATCAAACAGACTGACTCACACTCCTGACATCAAACAGACTGACTCACACTCCTGACATCAAACAGACTGACTCACACTCCTGACATCAAACAGACTGACTCACACTCCTGATACTCAAACAGACTGACTCACACTCCTGATATCAAACAGAAACTCACACTCCTGACTGACTCACACTCCTGACATCAAACAGAATGACTCACACTCCTGACATCAAACAGACTGACTCACACTCCTGACATCAAACAGACTGACTCACACTCCTGATCTGGTTGCAAGTCTGGTCATCCTCTGCACAAATCAACACTCGAGCACCAACCGATGCAGCACCATGGTTCTCTGATGACGCTGGAGACTCAACTTCACAGCATTCCTCTTCCTTCTTCTGCAATCTCCGCCAGTATCTCAGTGAGAGCCTGCCACTTGGGACACTGCTCTAGGCGTGGGGTCAAATCTGCAAGATGCCATAAAAGCAGAAGAAACGCAATGTTATTTACAGGTACAGCATAAAGAGGTAGTGCAGGAATAAGTATCACAGTTCAGCCAGAGGTTTATAACTTAATGGCTGATACTTCTCATCCAGCAGTGACTGAAAAAAAATGGAGGAGTGAAGCATCTTTGTAATGAAGTCACATCATCCCATAGTCAGCTTAGCTTGCAACAATATTACTGCATCTTACCAAACATGTTGTTGAAGGTAACTAAGGTTAAGGTTGGACCTGGGGTTAGCTACCTCTTCCCATAACACATTATGGCCATAACAAACCCACTGACACTGATATTAACCCTGCCACCCTGGTAAACTAAAGAAAAAAAATCAATGCCGGTGGTCTGTAAGTGATGGATTCAAGAAAATAATCTTTAAAAAAAAAGAAACTATTTTACACAGGCCACGCCCCACCCCCCACCCCAAATTAAAAGGATTAATTATAATTCCAATTATCAAGTTTTATATTTCATTTTTAAAGCCTCCTTGGATGGCAAGGAGTGCCAACAATCCATCCACCCTTCTCTAAAGGACCCATCAGTCTACATGCAGTTGTAGGGGCGATACCCGCAGATAAAAGGACAAAGAGGACACCACACAAATAAGGCTATGTAATGTCTCATGAAACCAACCCAACCAATCCAGCAGAAACCAGACAGTAGAAATGTTTTTGTAGTGGATATATGAGAAATTCAGGCATAATGATACGCCGCGAGGAAAATGTGGAAATCAACCCAAGCAAAAAAAAAAGCAGTCTTAATATAACAGCCGCTCATACATAGCAGCTGGTTGAATAAGACGAAAACATTTTTTAAATTGAAAACGATTACTGATTACTGAACCCGGGAGGCTAACAAGGCGAACATATTCCCAATAAGTTGGATGTGTCAGCCGAAAAGTGCAAATGTAGCAGCAATGATGTAACCAGGCACAACACAATTATGTCAACCGGATGAACAATGAAGAAGGACTATGAAGGTCTACAATTATTTAGCCAGCTGTGGCTCTGTTTACACCAGCATTCATAAAATTATGCACGTCTGTCACTTTCTTCTTCTGTCCTTTATCCCCTAATGGAGCATAGGCCCTCAACCAAATATCGCCAAGTTATCCTATCATTTGTCATCATGTAAACCCCATCATATGTCCTTCTTTTTCCCTTCCTCTTGTACCGCTTATGTCGAGGGAGATACGAGGTTCTATTTTTTGATCTTCTGGCTACCTCAGCCACAGACACATCATACAGCTGTAGAGTTTCTCTCAAGTTATCTTTCCATCTCATTCTTGGTCGACCCTTTGCTCTAAGCCCCTCTTTTCCTTTGGGTAGGCTCTGTATCACCCCCATATCATCCATACCTTCTTTCACCACATTATTTAATCCTCTTCTTCATGTGTTTTTAGTCAACCATTACTCCTCTCACCCTTTGGGTTCCAGTATAAGAACGAGTTAGATTATTTTTGTCGCTGGTGTTTTTCAGGACGACGTGGCCAATCCTAAAGTAATAACTTCCCTTAGGGGTCTCTTACTATATGCCTCCCGGAGGGTTTCCGTGATGAAATAGTGAAGCCATTTGCCTCATGCTCTGGAGGTCGGGGGTTCGGTTTCACGACGGCGCCGCTCAGTTAACGGGTGCATATTGTACGGAGATCCCTGTGGCTCGTCGCCAGAGCTATGGAATTTGTGCTCTGTGCGATGCTCTCGACAGGCAGCTAGCTGTTCTGCGAAGAGAGACTTAGCCATATGGGATAAAATCTGTGCAAATAAGTCGATCCTCTCACCTCTGCTACAAGCCTGGCGCCATTACAAGATATCAAACCTACCAAGAAGAGAACTAGTTAGCTTCAAATCACAATCACAAATGACAAGTAAACACTGCAGGTACAAAGCCTTCATCAGCACATAACATGAACAGACAATGTTACATTTACAAACAAGAACACATAAAATCACTTAACTGAGGTCTTGCCAAGGAAAAAACCCAGAGTTCTTTATAGACAACTGAAGCTATCAGACAAGCGTGAATACAGGAAATTAATACTAGCCAGAAAAAGATGTGGAAGACAAGGTTTGTAACTCAACAAATATTAGACAAATCTGTGTTGGATCTTAAATCTGGTAGGGTATAGCGTTATTAGTATTCTATACTTTCCCTAGAGGCAATTTTTATTTATCAGTGTCTGTGTATGATCTTTGCTATTATTCAGTTATGATGCACTCAGAAAGTTTATTTTACCTTCATCATCAGTGTCTATACATGATCTTTGCTATTATTCAGTTACGATGCACTCAGAAAGTTTATTTTACCTTCATCATCAGTGTCT